AAAACGCAGTTAACTGAAAAGTGTTTGGAAGAAGAAACAATAAAAAAACAGCACATCTCTCTGTATAACTGTGAGAATGTTTTCTTTCCAGATACACTCAATAACAACATATAAATCAGAATTGTTCTGAGAAAAAATTAAACAAAACAAATGAAAAAATAAACAATTAGAAATAAAAAATTATTTCTTGTTTTTACCTGAATCTTCCCACTTTTCTTAAATGTGAAAACATCTCTCCTCCTTGCACATAAGGCAGTACCATGTAGAGATTGGAATTATCCTGTAAGTATGAATTATAACATACATTTATCAAACTAATGAACAATAAGAACAGACAAAAATTTCAGTTTGCTTCAGGTCATCAACACCAATTACTCTGCAATACCCTGTTTCCTTTTCTGCTGAAACTGACCATAAAAGCCAAGAGTAAGCTGATGTGAGATAGGTTAGACCACGATAACTAATCACTTTACTCCAAATTTTTATTTTTCCCCCGATACACGATACTTGTATAATTTTGTATTTGTCACAAGATGTACGATTTACCAAGCAATGCCCTTCAAAGTTGGCCTCTGACCTCACAAAAAAAAGTAACCTATTTTCCAAGACATATTACATTCTAAGATTATAACAAAAAAAAATAAATATATTTTTCGATAATTTCACAAGTTTTACAAATGATAGATAGCAGTGCTGTAATCTGATTTTTGGATCTCCTGTGAGCAGGACTGAACCCTGGACCTCTCAGATACAAAGTAATGCTTTACCAGCTGCAGCCAAAAGAATAGTGGTAACTTTATTAAAATGGAATCCTCATTATTATTGTGTGATGCATGTGAATCAACTATGATAGCATTGGTGAGGATGTAAGGGCATGCACTGCTGTGGTGTATTAATTTGTCTAGGATGCTTTACTAGCAGTAGTAACCGGAATCAAAATTATAAGCTATCTCACAGTAAATTTTCATGTTTACAGCTATCTTAGAAATTTACAAGATTTCTTGTACAGTTTATTAGATGTCTTACCAATGTTTTCTTTTGCTTTTTCAAATAAATATAAAAACAGGTTTCCATATTGTACAGTATCTAATTCTTCTGACTTCTCCTCATTCCATAAAAAAAAAAATTGTATGATTGTCCTTACTACTTATATTCTCTACATCAAGATAATGTCCATTTTCACTCCAATTAGAGAGGTCCACCATCGTTAGAAACTTAGCAGGATGCTGTTGCTAATGTCAGTATCATGCATACGCAATACTATTGCCACATAAATAGTGCAAATACATTCATGTAAGTTACGAGTACTACGTAAATTCATTAAGAGACTTGTTGAATATTCTGAACCACAAAATGAATTTTCTCTTAACTGAGGGGTACAAGTCTCAAAATACTTTACTAGAAGCATCATGAAAAATGTATTAGATACTCCCTTGCAGTTTCAACAATTTGTTTGGGGTAACTGATCATAATATAGATAAGTGTCAAGTGCCGGAGAATGGCAACATTGAAATAACGTTCTTAATAATTGTTCAATCACTTCAAAAGGCTTGTTACTGCATGTAACTGAGAGACTGCTAATATGAAATGATTTAGTTAAATCATTGTACAACATTTTTGTGAGTTACAATTTGAATTACAAGCGGTAGGCTGTTACACTTGTGAAGTTTTATTTCTATTTCTCTGGAGAACAAAAAATTGAGTTTGCCAGGACTTAACAAGTACTTTCTAGGTACATCAAGTTATCAGAATACATTATCTGATGACCTTCCGTGTTATCGTGAATTGAAAACCAGGTTTAGCTTTAACAGTTAATTGGTATCACCTTGCGAGACCTAGCCATCAAGACTTATCTGAAAGAACACATGTAGAAGTTGTTCATTGAAACCTACTGTATCTTACAGAGGGCATTCTATTGAACAAGTAGGAATCTACATTATTATTATTATTATATCTAGCACCATGTAATAATTATTGGGTTTGAGATAATCTTAAAATATAATTTTCTGGTTCTCAAGAGGATAATCCAAGTTTTACTCTATTGTTTTGCTATTAAAATGAAATTAAAAAATTGAATATACACTAAACTTGTGTACATACATTGTATAATAGAAAGAAAATGTAACCAGATAATATTCAGTCATGTGGATGTACTTTTAAGCAATTGAAAATTTCTGGAAGTTGAGGTCACCAGTGTTTATATTACCATAAATCTTTATTACACATAACTAATTATTCACTTACACCAACTATTTTTTTTCAACAACCTGACACCAACAAATTAAGTTCCAGAATTAGCTGGCCAGTTCAGCAATGACACCCAATCCAGAAGCCAATGGACTATGAAAGAAAGGTACCATAAGAGATATATCAGGGTCAGTTTGAAATAATTTCCAGAGTGATCAACAAGCTATTCATCTTGCTGCCCATTTATAAAAGAAATAGCTTCAACAATATTAAGTAATCTTCCATTTGAGAGATGTAACCACTGTCAAGCATTGGTAACTGCTTTATCCAACAGGTTTCTGAAGTAAAGTTCTGGAAAAAGGTATGGAGAAAAAAAAATGAGAGAGATATCAGTTGAACTTGCAGAAGATTTGTAAAGGCTTATCCAATTATCTTACCCAGAAGCTCCATGTGAAATGGTGAATTCGTTGGCATGTCAATAATTTACAGATACCATATCAGATTAGGATATGAGAATCATGCTGAAGAAAAGTAAGTGTAAATCTTTAATGGAAGGTTTGAAAACTTTAATGGGCTGCAACTGCTTGCTGAAGGAAAAGGATAAAATGTTTCGGCTTCTATGCCGAAGAAGGCCTCAATACAGAAGCTTAAAACCTTGTCTTCTTTTCTTTCAATGGGCATTTGCAGTCTATTAAAGATCTAAAACTTCCTATGTCTACTCATGCTTGCCCTTTCAGCTGTGTGGGGGTTATAATGTGACAATCAATCCCACTATTCATTGGTAAAAGAGTAGCCCAAGAGTTGGCAGTGGGTGGTGATGAGTTGCTGCCTTCCATCTAGTCTTTCACTGCTAAATTAGGGATGGTTAGTACAGATAGCCCTCGTGTAGCTTTGCTCGAAATTCCAAACAAACCAAAACACTTCAAATAAGCTTAGCCAACTTATTAATTTCAGCACCAGAAAAACATTCCTACACAACCCTATAACCATAGACAGTATATATGTACAAAACAAAACACCAAATTCTTCTGGAACTATACATTTGAAAAAATATAAAAAGTTATCAGAACCATTCTTATAATTTGATCACATATGAATAAGGTAACACTGATAACTGTCAAACAAAAACCACATAATTAGGTGAGTCAATACTTGTAGTAGTATACACTCAACTCTTTGAATATTCACCTTAAAACACATAACTTATTTCAGAATGTCCATCAAAGCCATTTTTCTGGGACTTCTCTTTACAAATTCATCAATCATTTGATTTAGATTTATGTTCAAGTCATAATGTGAACTTAATAGGGCCTGTCCATTTAGTTGCTCCTGTGACACAGTTTTTCAGGTGGTGCAGAGCAGAAATGGATCATTCGCACTGATGTGTGATAACTGGAATGGCTGCCATGATAATCAAAGCTGCACAGATATTGGAAAATTTTGTCACCACTTTTAACACTTTGTTGCCAAATGACTCCCAAACTAGCATTTCAGCAGGTAACGCAGATGGTGATGGCAAGAATTTCTTATATTTGTTGCAAAAAAATGGGACTTTACAAGTGGCTTCACTTTTCATGTGTGTTTTGGCATAACAGTTAAACCACTAAGAACTTCATTCTGTCCAGAATAAAACAGCGCACTAAATTCCTGGATAAGGTGATCCAGCAGGGGTATTGCGATCACTCCTCTGTAGTACTCTTCTGCTAGTCCAGGGTGTTGTAATATTCATATCAAGCTTTTCCACCATTGAGGTAGCTTGCTGATACCAGACAGAACTTTCTGCCTCTATGTTAGACCTAACATTCTCAGCAGCATTCTTAACAATATCAACAAACTTACAGACACAACATCGTGGTCAGCATACTGCAGTTTGTATTTCAGTCCACTAGTAAAGCCAGTAACTTCTCTTGTGTATATGAATATGTGAATGCAATGATAAACTGGAACTCAGTGATGGAATGGTGTAGTTCATCTGCATTTACAGTCGACTCACTGTTACAATGTTTATCTTCGATTCTCCTAATTTCATCAAGTTTCAATTACTAGCTCACATATACTGATGACCACACCTCTATAACATCAAGGCACTGTATCCACCTGGTTTTGCATATAATGAGTATCTTCTTGTGCTTACTTTAGAGACAAAGTTCTTTCACTAGCTTTGTCAACAATGCCTGTTGTTTAGGAGAGAAGCTAAAGAAACACGACAGAGTATTAAGAGTAGTAAGCATATTCTTAACTTTTTGGCTAGTACTGGATCTTACAACATAGAAGTTTAATTTGTGAATGCTTCAGGATACTGTTCTTGGATTTGCATAGCACTGACCCCAACAGTCATTCATATCTAAACCAAGATCTTTAATAGTCTTCAAAATTAAATCTGCAATTGTTTCACCAGATCTACCACTTTTGCAATGTACTAACTGAATAAATATGTCTTGAATCTGGCTGTTTTCAACCACATGATGGATAACAAGTGGAATTTGCTCAGGGTTGGTGGTGTCCTAAGCTTCACCAGCAAGCACAGAGAATATCTGATTTACCTTCATGTCTGAAACCAATTTCTTTTGTATATTAGTTCATTTTGAGCAGTACAAGACATTTTTGATGCAACTATTGAAGTGTTCTTTTAAAACCTGATCACCAGATTTACAATGAAATTAAAGTAAAACTTGAAAATTCCCAGAATTTTTATCAGTGTCCAAATGAGATGAATCATCACAATGGCCTTTCAAGGCAATATTTTGTTTACCAGAGAAAATAAATTATCTAATATTGGCTTTAGCTTAATGTAATTGCATTCAATGAGTCGCTTACAACTGCAGTTTAACTGCACAATTATTAGCACCAGTTTATTTTCCTATGACATCCTAAAAAAATTTCACATATGATAATATGCATCCTTATGTACAGGAGATTTTTCAACATGTTCTTTAAATTTTGAAACAGCAGACTGCCACTTCATCAAAAGAGACAAGTACAATTAAAAAAGGTAATCAATCAACCCAATTAAAATATACAAATAACAGACTTACCTTCGGAATTTGTACATACTCAAACATACTGAATCTTTGATATTTTGGCATGTTTTCATTTACAATTTCACTCTTTTGAAGGCATTTTTACATTATTTTCGTGTATTTTTCTAAAGTGTGTTATGACAGCTGCATGAATGGGATGAACAGACATCTGCAGAGCGTATATTCATGACAGGGAATCAGTCTTTGTGTCAAAACTGTAGCAGGATACTCGTAGAATAATTCTTCACGAACTCATGTGATAAGGTCAAAAAACACCCCAAATTCATTGAAAGTTTAATTATTTTTGATAAAAAAAAAAAGACATTTTGAAAAGGGCAGGAAAATACTCTGACCACGTCATGTGACATGGTTTGGATCCATAACCACTGACAATAGTCTAAAAGAATTGAAAGTATTAGTTACACAACTAGTCTTACAGAATAATGGAAATAAACCACAAGACAACAGGTGTTTCAAGTGTACCTTACAAAAACAAATGCACCAAACTGTACACAAAGGCCTGTAGAGAATAAAAACTTCCTCAAAGGTTCTCAGAAAAACAAAACTGATATAAGTGTGGGAATCATGACCATTACAGCTTAGACTGTAAGGAATCAACAACTGTTAATAAGTCAAAGAGACTATTCCCTATGAAAGAGTCCGATCACCCAGCCAAATTAAAGGTTCAACAAAGAGCTAATCAGACATCGGAAAACATAAAATAGCTAGACGTATGGGATGAGGTTCAACTGAGAATACTCTATCTGTGCCAAGTGAGATAACAGATTCATTATTTAAAGAAACAAGTCTATCAGTCCACGGATTTATTGATGGGAAGTTTTGTAGTAAGTTGATTGATATTGGTTCTACAGCTACAATGGTTCAACCTGATTTGTTAATGACAGGTGGGAAATTTCCTCCAGAAAAAAAAAAAGATGAATTAATGAGAACAGCAAGTGGACATAAAGTTTCAGCAAGAGGAAAGTTGGAAGTTACCCTTACTCTAGAAAACTTCTCTATGCCTCACTCATGATGTGTGGATAATTGACATTGAGGAAGAGTGCTTACTGAAAACTGACTTCATCCAAAGATATAGATGTGAAATTAAGCTAGCTTCATAGTCTATGATCAGGAAGTTCCTGTGCACTACATGACAATTTCCGCACCAGATCTTATCACGATAACAAGGAGAGTAGTTAATGTACCATCAACAAATGAAGTACGTATACCAGAAATTATTAACAATAAATTTACATCTAGTAATTGGGCCATACAAAAGTTTTGTTGGACCACTCGCTGTTAACCATCTATTCAACACATAAAAAGAAGAATTAACCACTACTCCTGTATTAACATACCAAACTCTTGAAGATCCACTCATTTTTGATAAAGATAGCAGTGATTTTATACTACGAGGAATGTTATTGTAAGAACAACATGGAAAAGAACATGTGATTACATACTATACAAGGCAATTAATATTGCAGAAATGAAGTATTATACAACTCAGAAAGTGTTGTTCCAACCCTAGGCTATTTCCATCATTACCTATATGGACAAAAGTTTATTCTATGGACTGATCATGTAGCACTAAAGTTGTTGGTAAATACTCACAATCTAGTAAGCCAGATAGCAAAAATGGCTCTAGAAAATTCAGGAGTACAATTTTAACACTGTGAATCACCCTGTATGGAACCATGGAAATGTTTATGCATTATCCCAAAAACCATGTGTTAATAAAGAATGTAAACACTGTGAAAAGAGGAAAGCACAAGACAGCAACGTCTACCAGCCTGTAGTACAATAAAGTATAATTCAGGATGGGACATCCACAATTGGTAATGAAGGACTAATGTGGTCCACTACTCAACTGAAAGATGATCAAGCAACAAATATGAGTCTGAAACCAATTATTCATGGATCAAGGATAATGCAGAACAAATCCTACAAGAACGTTTATTATTTCAGAAACTGAAAGATGTCAGAATACAGAAAGTGTGACTGTAGTTGGTAATTCCACACACTCTACATTCTAAAGCTCTCTCACCTTCACAACCTTTCAACAGCTGGATGCTTGGGTGTTAAGAAGACACTAGAGGGAGTAATGGAACGATTTTAATCGGTTTGGTGTTGGGAATCTGGATAGAATTGGGTTAAATCATGTTAAGTGTGTTATAAGAGAAACAAAAATTGCAAGGGTAGTTACAGCACCATCTGAGAGAATTGCTGTGATGTGCTTGATCCTCTACCACAAAGTAAACAGTGGTAATAAATACATTGCAGTTGTGATGGACTGTTTCACCGAATGGTCAGAAGCATACACTGTTTCTAACCAGGAAGTAAAAAATTCTTGCAAGGAAATTCGTCAATGAATTAATTTCAAGATTTTGGATGCCTATGGAACTTAGATCAGGGATAGAACTATGAATCGGCTTTGTTTGCAGAAATGTGTCAAATCCTTGGAATAAAAAATACCAAGAAAACAGCCCATTTTGAAAACAATTAGTCATTTATTTGGATGAACAACAGAAAATATACAATCAAGATATTCTATCGCTACTTATGAATTATCGATTGTTTGTTTGTTTGTAATTAAGCACAAAGCTACACAATGGGCTATCTGTACTCTGACCACCACTGGTAACGAAACCCAGATTCTAGTGTTGTAAATGAATTATCGAATGGCAGTACATGAAGCTAAATGCAACATACCATCATCACTGATATTTGATAAAAACTTAAACTGCCATTAGACCTTCTCTACTCACACTCAGCAGAGTCATGCATGAAATATGTACAGACTACAGAACACCATGACTTTACCTCAGAAAAGGTGACATGGTATGGTTGTACAATCCTGGTTATAAGAGAAGAAGAACTCCTTATTTAAGCAGATGTTAGAAAGTTGTACTGAGGATAATAAATTATATCATTTACAGAATCCAGAAAGACAAGCAGTCCAACCAACAGACATCCAACATAATCTTCTTTGGAAGTATGTTAGTCAGAGAACAGTGAGCTGGGTAATTTAAGAGGAGAATTTGCCTATGGAAAGTCAATATATGGAACAGCCCAAAGTTCCTGGCCAGGGGATCACTGAGGATAGAACCACCAGTGGGTTTGTTCCACCACCTACCTAGAGAAGACTCCCTCATTGAGAGGACAGCATGTGACAATAAGGGACATGGGGTGATCTCATCTGCATGCCATAACTTCTGAGAAGAAAACCACCAAAAAGACTTTGTGAATGGACAGTTTTGTGTACTGTTTTATTTGTATACTAGTGAAAATACCCAGCATTGCTCAGGTTATTAGATTGATAGTGAATGTATTCTGAAGCCATTTTAGCATAAAAATATAACTTATATACTTTTGTTGCTAAGCAACATGAGATAAAAGCCATTGCTGGAATGTATTGTTATCAAAATACACTGGCTTTTCTATATATTAGAAGTTGTTACATAAGGAACCACTTCTTTTTTATATGGTTTTTCACTAGCTTGCCTCATTAAAAAGATGCACAAGTGCATGCATTTGGATAAGAAATACCCAGGTGCACCCCCTCAGGGTTTACTTAGTATGGGTGCAAAATTTCAGGTTTCTAGGTTCTTTCTTTTTGGAGCTATGGCAGTCACAGTTCTTTTCTATGTGATTTTTTGCTAGCTTGCCTCATAAAAGATGCACATGTGCCTGCATGCACACACATGGATAAGTAATACTACCCAATTGCACAACTTCAAGGTCCTCTTAGTATGGGTGCAAAATTTTAGGTTTCTAGGTTCTTTCCTCTTGGAGCTATGGCAGTCACACATACACAGATATGCACACATACACATGTCTGTCTGTGATTTCTATTTGTAATATAAGGAACCACTTCTTTTCTATGTGGTTTTTCACTAGCCTGCTTCATTAAAAAGATGCGCAAGTGCATGCATTTGGATAAGAAATACCCAAGTGCACCCCCTCAGGGTTTACTTAGTATGGGTGCAAAATTTCAGGTTTCTGGGTTCTTTATTTTTGGAGCTATAGTAGTCGCATTTCTATATGGTTTTTTTGCTAGCTTGCCTCATAAAAAGATGTGCACGCACGTGCATGTAGATCAGTAATAATACCCAGGTGTGCGCCCCCCCCCTTATTATTATAGATTAGGGTTATTCAAGGGACTTCAAAATCCAGAAAAGGGCAGTGTTGTAGACTATATTTTAGATATTTTAATTTAGATGTTTGTTCACTAGAAGGCACATGATGTAATATCTAGAAAGTTCACAAAATTTCTCTGTAGAGTCTAAAAATTAAATGCAGTATGTAGAAATGAGGGTACAATATAAATATTAGATTCAGTGACTTAGTTATTCAATCAGTGAAGCAATATATTAATGAATAATCAATGATCAAGTTGGTTCAGTGCCAGTTAGACAGTGAGTGTTAGTGCATTTATGATTAGATTTTTAAAGTTCTGATAAATTTTATTTGTACCACTGTATCAGAAATTACATCTACAAGTAAACAAAGCCTGTATCAAATGTTACTCACTTATTAACGAAATAAATTATTTTATCATTACTTAAAGTGAATTTGCATTATTTTTACCAAGTATTGTAAAAGAACTCGCCTGGTGATAGAACACATTACAACAATAGTTTAAAAAAAAGCCTTAACATGTGCTTGCATGCATGGTGTCAGTAGAAAATAAATTTTACAATTATGAAAAATATAAATGATTAAGTGTAGCTAATATCAAACTTAAATCTACCTATACCTAAATGACATCTTTATAAACTACTGGGAGTGATTTGAGACTTATATTGAATTCATGCTACCCTCACACACACACATAACTAATGCTACTTTCTTACCTTAAAATGAAATTCCAGCTTTACAAGGAATGGGAAGTCAATAGCTTGCAAAATCTTCTTCTCATTTAGAGTATGTTCAACTTGTTTTAGCTTTACAACCTGTTTCCAACAAAGATTAAAACCTAATGTTAAAAATCACTTTCATACCAATTCCTAAATATAATTTGTTTAAGAAAAGGATACCCTTTCCTTGCAATTACTATTTGTGGAATTCTTCTTTGCAACATATTCCAATCTATGAGAGTAATAAGTACAAAAATATAGCAAAACAAACATTATGTTTTAATTGTTACAATAACACACTATATTTTAAATGACAACAAAACAAACAGGTAGAAATATTACAAGTGTTAACATTTTTCTTACATGAAAATATATTTCCAATAGATATAACTTACATCTCTGCTCGCAATAGCTATTTCTCATCCACCTGCCATTGAAATCTTGTGAATGGCACTAGCCTTGAACTATCTGCCTTTTAAATCATGTGTTTTGATGTTAACTGCACTAGTACATTATGTAATCATCATGCAACAACAGCCCTCCACCAACAGGAGGGTGACACATCCACATAAGTACTCTTACTCAACATTAACTTCGATCTTCGATGAGAGAAGAATAATGTGCACCAGTGGTGGGGAGGAACAAGGGTCAGAAGATGTACAGAGGTAGATATAGGAAATACATTTTCAGGTATGGAAAACATTAACTTCCTAAACAATCTACGTACCTCTCTGCACATAATAACTAGAATCCCATATCAATATGGTGGAGGGATCAGTGTAAACGAAAACAACCTAGATGAGCTCCCTTTCCATCAGAAAAGGAAAGCTCATGGAGCTTGACACCCAATAACAAAAGCTTAATAGAGGGACAACATTCAAAGCAGATGGTATCTTTCTCAGGCAGTGTGTACTTTTTGTTCATATCGAAGTATGAAAGGAGGAAGTCCAAAATCAGCCAATATGACACAGAGATGGGCAGGAAAAATATATGATCAATCAAGATTTTGCACATAACAAGTCATATGGACGTACAATGTAGTGTAGCTAGGGAAATAATCAGATTGTACAATTTGGTATGTATTCTGTTATACAATTTGTTCAACATATATACAGGAGCAGGTACTAAGGTCCCTTCCTGGTTCCCGAGGAGAACACTTTATCCCATCTGGCTGGTCAAAGCCACCGAAGAATTGGCATAAAACAGAATAGGAGCTAACCTGCAAAACACTGACATGAACACCCCTAACCTAGTTCCTACTGCATCATGTTGCCTACTCAGTCTCTCTGGAGGGATCACACAGTTGGTGAGGAAATCTCCATGTAAACCCCTTCCCCCAGCACCTAGAAACTTGGAATGGCAAGGGCCTCCCATTCTCCACTCAAAGATCAGAGGTGATTCACACTGGGAAGGCTTTGAAAAGATACCTGGACCCAATTGTACCTAACCACTGCCAAGTTCTTTTACTGGAGAAAGTGCAATGGATTACAACAAAACCTATTTTGAAAAGCTAGAATGCACATGTCAGGGAAGTGGGCAGGCACTCACTCTGTACTGGCATTTTCCATGATAATCAATGGAAGTTATGGTCTGGAATGAACAGAGAGTTATATATACCACCAGAAAATCCCCATCTCAACAGTGGACTCATAGGAACCAGGACCGATGAGCTTATCACTTTTCATTACCCTTGACTAGATTCAGTTTTAGAAAAGTAAATATACCCTGTGAAGCAATATCGTACACTGAATGAGTACTGAGGTAAGGATGAGACTATTACAAAAAATTGGTAAAAAAATAAATGAGGTACTTACGCCATTAACTCTTTCAAGACTGAATATTTATGAGATTTTGTTGCCATCCAGTGCAACAGAACAAACAGTGACTCTGAACTTAGTAACATAACATAATATGAATAGTGAGGTACTTGTAGCAAATAGAGCAACAATTGCTCACAATCAGTATTGTCTATGTGTATGATAAAGTTCAAACCAGTTTCTATATTTTTTGTTGAGACACAAGTATACTCTACAATGACTGCACATAAAATGGGTGCAGTGGCAATTTCCTTCATATGTCAGTCGTGTGCTATCATGCAAAGTTCCATATTTGCACACACCTCCTGCTCTTGCATTCCTTTCATTACAAACCCTACAGTCACGAATGGTTTCAGTGAACGGTGTTGTTCCATGTTTTACTATCTCTGAGCATCATGTGGATCTCCAATTGATGGCCTACCAGCTCCTTTCCAAAATGTTTTGCTGCAAGTAGGCCTTTTGCAATACTACTGTCGTGTCACCTATTGTCAGCAAAACTAACTACACTCTTTCAAACTCTGCAATGAAACAAAGTGAGCCAAACTTCTCCACTATGGTGGAGGAGCATCTGAAAAGGGTTAGAATTGGTGAATAGACTGAAGAATGATCACTAGAGAAGTAGTATAGATGGAGATTAAATAGCCAGAAGATGAGAAAGGTGTGTGTTGGGCATTGTCTATTTCCCTGGCTGTAAGATCTCACCCAATGGTTGTTGAAAGAGCGAAGCCAGAGTAAGTAATGAACTAAAGATTATCGGATAAGGAGGGGGTCACACAGCACGCATCTCAAAAGGGAGGTGAGCATGTCAAGCAACACCAGATCACCAGGATCAGAACAATTGTTGTGGACCAGAAAATAAACAGGAGAAAAGAGTGGCTAGGAAAAAAGGAAGTAAGATTTGTGGAAGAGAGTAAAAGAGACATATAAGGCATAAACATCTGAACAGCAACAATCTTAAGTCAGAAGGAAAGAAGCCTTCAAGAAAAGTTGAAAGAAGGAAACAAGTGTCAAAATTTCAAATGGGGTCTGGCAGAGAATGTAAAGAACCACAAATATGTCTCATTCAGACAAATGAAGTAAAAGAGGAGAAAGAAGGACAAAGGAAGGACTGTAACAAGGTAGAATGACAGGGGAATAAAAGATGGAACCACAGTGAAAAAGCTACATGACATCCAACCTTGATGTAGACTGACAACCTCTTGTCAAACAGCCTGGTAAAGGACTCTAAATGATGGTTGACAGATGGCACAGAGGCATGTCTGATTGACAAATGGTGATAAAAATGCCACTTGCGTCAGGGAACACAGAGAGTGAAAGGATGAGCTGAGGGGTGAAAAAAAAGGGTAAAACAATATAAGAATCTGCCTGTCAAGTAAGGAACAGACAATTTTACATGTGATGACAAAGAAACGACTTTCCTGGATGAAAGACTGATGTAGAATGTTGAAGCAATAGGAATCAAGATGTTGGAAGAAGAAGAAAAGGTGCCTAAGATCCCAAATGGTGGAGAAGAGGAAACCAAGACCTAGCTGGCCAATAAGGTGTTACCAACAAGTCATAGAACATTGTTGAGACAAAAAAAAATCCACAGCCCAAGCAACCAGCTGTGAGATTATGGGCCAAAAGAGCTGAGGTGACTGGACACTCCATGACACATTGCTGAAATGGAGCATGAGCCTGAATGAGGTGTGAAATGAAAATGACCCCAAGATGGATCATCTATAGTCAGAGGCAGGAACAACCAAGAAAATAAAAGACCAAGCATACCAGATGATCAGCTTATCAGAGGAAAAGGGATTAAAGAGAATATCTACCAAGCAGAAGCAAAAACTAGCCAAATATTCAGAAAAAAATGGAAATGAAGACTGAAACAGTAGAATGTGGAGAACAAAAGCCCCAAGACTTAGCTGAAGATATTAAGAGCAAAATCAATGCTAAAAGGTTGAGACAAAAATTGGTATACCTTATCATGGTCGACAAACCAAAGAAAATGTTATGATGTCAGGATTATTGGAATGTGAAGAAAAGGCATCCAAGACATGGACCATCTTCATCCACAGGCTGTTGAAAACAACCTATTACAATGAAGAAATCCTTCATATAAAACTAGAAAATCATTAGAAGTGGTATAGCAAGGATGTACAATGAGGGAATGTCAGACCCCAGTATTCTTGGGGACAAATAAGAGATGGGAATAGTAACTCAGAGGGGAGCAAGTAATTCTTTACACTGCATTCCAAACCAAAAGTTCCAACATTGTATTCTGGAGATGGTGGAGGTATTACAATCAGAAGGTGAAGGAAAAACAAGGGTAAAGGGTAAGAAAAAAGAAGTGAAGAGAGAGACAGTGGGCAAGAACCTGAGCAACCCAATGGTTGGTTATGAAGTGAATTCACAGGTTAGAAAAGAAGTGCCCCCTTGTATAGGACCTGAGCCAGCCAGGTGTAAAGAGATGTAGTCACTAACAGGACAGACAAAAGCTGACATTCCAGAAAGTAAAGGAGCAGAAAGAGGAAATGTGAAGAAGGATGAGGGTACATGGGCTAAGAAATGTAACAATGTACAGACATGGAAAAATTGGAGTGTACATAAGTGAGTGAAAGCTGATGGAAAGCAGCTTCTGCTCAAAACTCCAAGGTGAGAGGAATAACCCAAAAATCTTGTGGCAAAAGAATGGAACAAGACACAAAGAGAAGACTCAGGAAAATGAAAGACAGAGAAAAAGTTGTCATGTTTGAATAGATGTCAGCTACATAGAAACCATATGAGAAGAGACAGAGCAAATTATGAGATCCTGGCTTAGGTATGAAAAATAACACACTGGAAATACCACAGAAAAACTATCTGGATTATGGTTTAGGGCCTCAGATAGAAGATAAGAAAAAACAGACAGTGAATGAATAAAGCAAGGTGAGAGCAAAGACAGAAGTAAGCCCTGGTAAGGGATACTAGAGACAGAGGGGTCAACTTTCAAGCAGATAGAAGGGATTCCAGGGATTGAGGATCCAAGAAAGCAGATGGAAAGCAACAATAACCATGTTAAAGAATTAATGAACTAGATGGATGAGGCAGGAAGGAGTGGGAATGATACCGAGACAAGAATATATCAGCATGGATACAAAAACCAGGTAAAGGGGGATAAAATAAAACAACAGCAGGAAAGTATGAAATATGTATTATGAAGAAACACAGGACACAGGATTAACTGAAACTGTAGTACAAACTCAACACAATCAGCAAAGAGAGAAAAATTATGTGTCCCTCAACAGCAAACAAAACCAGGCAACAGATGTCAACCTCAGAGTTGGGCTTAGTAATTGAGAAGTGGGAAGGAAGGTGGTAGCATCTCCTGCAAACAAAGTTAACTTCAAGTGCAAGTGTTTATGAAGATCTACTGCACATGGAAAATGTGGTGGAGGGCCATTTTCACATGATTACATCATCTACCAGCACAATTCACGACAAAATATGATTTAAGTGAAAGATAGCTCAAGGATAGTGGTGTGCACAAAATCTCAATAGCAATCACACAAAATACATACTGCATGAAGAGAGGTAAGTGGATCATTTCTGAATTAATATTTTTGTTTGTAAGTTACACAAAATAAGAATCAAAAGATGATATAAATTTAACTCTTTCCCAAAAACCTACCTTTTGCTTGTCCAGAATTTTCATTGCATAATATTCTTGTTCAATTTTATGCTGAACAAGCATCACTCTTCCAAAAGAACCTGTTCCTAATGTTTTGATTCTTTCAAAGTCATCCAAACATGCCGTATCCTGATGAAACAAAAGATGACTTTTAGCAAAACTTGGCACAGATAAAGAACATGTGTTTCTTTAGATGGAAATAAAAACAATCACCATGCATTCCAATTCCATAATTTACGCTACAAGCTATGATTTCCATTTCTTTATTGAAACTTCTTAATTTATTCTTATATTCTGCTATACACCTGTATGAGTGTTTTTTTTATTTACATTCACATGTTGCAATGTAAATAGTCTCTAATATTATATTAGTTTTACAGGTATACTACAATAATTTAAAGTTGTTTATTTCTTACATAGTAGGATGATTTACATCCTTTGATACACAATCAAGCTAATATCATATACAATACAAGATCATTTTACATGTTCATAATCAAAATATATGCTTGGAAACTCTTGACATATGTACATCTTTAAATTCTTTAAGTCCAGAGCAGGGTTTGTGTCTGATCACCTTACCAGATAACTTTATCATAAAGTTAAAAAGTATAATGATCTTTTATTAACAGTTATATAAAGATTTACTTCTTGGCAATCTCTATCACCTGACCTGTTGAGAGCTGGCATTGCTCCAAAGTGATGTTTTCAGCTGATCATGGTACAAGTTTTGTTAATCTGATATTTTTGTTTCATAAAAAAAAAAATATACATACACATATGTGCAATTACCTTATTTAATTAGTCCTTTAATAGAAGGCTTAAGTGTCTTGCAACTTGCAAGTAACATTCGTGTGGGATCCATTTAGCTGTGTGTGGCATAATTTAGCGAGCTCAACTCTTTCCCTGTCAAGTGACTAGCAAGTGACATTCATAACTGATTCATCTAGATAAGTATATGGTATAATTCAGTTAGCTTAACTCCTTCCCTGCTAAGTGACTAGCAAGTGACATTCATGTGGGATCCATTTAGCTGTGTGTGGCATAATTTAATTAGCTTAACTCTTTCCATGCAAAGTGACTTGCAAGTGACATTCACAACAGATTCATCTAGATATGTATATGGTGTAATTCAGTTAGCTTAACTCCCTCCCTGCTAAGTGACTAGCAAGTGACATTCATAACTGATTCATCTAGATACGTATATGGTGTAATTCAGTTAGCTTAACTCCTTCCCTGCTAAGTGACTAGCAAGTGACATTCATAACTGATTCATCTAGATACGTATATGGTGTAATTCAGTTAGCTTAACTCCTTCCCTGCTAAGTGACATTCATAATGGGTTTACCAAGTGAGATGTGGCACAAGTTACAGATACTTAAACTGTTTCACTTACAAGAAACAAACATTCATTAAGATCTCATTTTGTTGTAAGAGATTTAGCTTCGATATATTTTAATCTTTTACTTCCTCGGTAAGTGAAAAATTGTGTTAAGTGGATCAAATGAAGCAAACATTTAACCTCTAGGTTTACAGGCTAAATGTCCTATATTTCATTTGTACTAAACTGCTGACATAAATTAAAAAGAACAAAATAAAAATCAGGGTGGCTACAGCCTAAAAAGTTTTTCCCTGACTTTCCAGGGAAAATTCTAGATTTTTTTAGTGTTTACTGTTCACAAATACATGGGATAAAAAAAAAGTTCAGAATGTACTTAGTTTAAACTAGAATACTATGAAAATGATCTTCAAAAAGGATTTACAAATTGATGGTAGACAATAAAATGTACTATTATTATTTGGAAACGAATAATAAATCTAGCCTTATTATCAAATGTAATGACTTAAATAATTATCACTAGAGTGACAGACCACGGTAATATAAAAATACAATGTGTGTGTGTGTGTATACAGGTTTTGGGATAATAAGAAAGGGAAGATAATACTTTTTATTTACTTTAACATAAGATAACCTATTGACAACACTGAACTATTTGGTTTTTCAAAGCTGTCCTTGCACACCAATCCTCAGGAAAAGTAAAAATTGAAACCTATCCTTTACTTTTTGGAAAATCATTGATTTTCCTTTTAAAATCTTGGAAAGTAGTTGCCTTCACTATTTCTGACAGCAAACTGTCTGTCAGAAAAATAAAACTATCTTAACGAGAGATTAAAATGTCTTTTGGAAATCTTGTGACCATTCATTCATTATCTTCAGCATGTAGTACATAAGAATTAGATGCCCTAGTTCTATCAATCCCCAGACAATCTAATAAACTTCAACAAAATCACTTCTTACCTTGTTTTCACTGTGGAAATGAGTTAAGAGATCTTATCCGATCCTTGTCAGATAACCTTTCTATCCCTGGAATAATCCTAGTAGCCCTACCATGAACCTTCTCCAGTAACTCAATATCCTTTCTTAGATAAGGAGATCAAAACTGTACACAGTATATCAAATGAGGCCTAACTAGTGATTTGTATAAAGATAACTAACTCTTTTTACTTTTAATATAATATTCTATTTGGCTTTATTACTAACAACACATGTATATATATTTATATAATAAGGATCCATTTTCAGATGGACATGATTAATAACCTTACTGCACCTTCTCCCATCTAACCACTCTACAAAACAATCCACTTAATTTATCTGTCCCCAGTCACTACTGATGTGATTTCTTAAGACTTGGAGAAATATTTTTAAACTCCCTGACTTTCACGTGTTCATGGCCACCTTGAATATGAATACCATATAACATTTTGATATATATATATATATATATATATATATATGATATTCATATCTGCTTCATACGTATACATGTACTTCCATACCTTGCTTGGATTATTCCATTTGGTTTCGAACTGTTCTTTGGCATCTGCTAGAAATTTTTCAACTGAAAAAGAAAGGGTACAATAAATAATACAATAAAGTATTAGCCGATTAGAGAAATACATAAACAGTGAGAGTGTAGTATGTCACAATACTCATTAAATGTTGGCAAGTTTCTTCATGTGGAAACAGACACTGAACAGTTAGGCTGTTATATAGTACAGGTGCCATAGAAAGTTTCTTTGGTAAAGTGTGTCGTTAGAGACAGATCAAGTTTCCACTGAAATAAATAAACATTAGCGACTATGGTTAAAGAAGAGAACTAGTGTTTGTGGGTTCTGTAAGTAAGGTATACCATTTTGTTTATTTTATTGAATATAATTAAATTTATTTTATTTTAATTTGTTATTCTATATCATGCTTTATTATATGATGAAACAATAAATTTTAATATTGATAAGTAGATATGTACGAAAAGTATTAACTACATTTATGGCAGATTGATTTATGGTTTTGATATATGTGCATAGCTCACTCTGATAAGAAGATATTACTTAGTATATGTAGACAATCAAACAACCTGCTTCAGTGCTGTAAAATAATCAAATCTTTTAACTCTTAATAATGCCACTACGTGGGCACCTATAGCATTAATAACATTATCAATGAATTTCTTAAATACACAACTAATTTCCTCTATTCTTTGCTACAGCTTATTAAGCGAACAATATGATTTAAATGGTGTTACTATAGCGTGCGGTCTACACAGATACAATCATCATCATCATCATCACAGTCTTAATGATTCACTAAAACATAATTTCTTGCTAAGCAATTTATATCTACCCAAATTTAGGTTATAATTGTTGGAATTTATTTCATTCCAATTATATTTGCCCCAGAAACATTATGTAATGGTATTTTGTAAGATACTTTATTAGTTTAAAATCATTATTTATAATAAATGGCTCCAATTGCAAATAAAAAAAAGTTAAAACGGTGATGATGATAGTATCTGTGTAGATCACATGCTATAGTGTAAATATCTGTGTAGATCGCACGCTATAGTGTAAATATCTATGTAGACCCCACGCTAGTGTAAATATCTGTGTAGACTGCACGCTATAGTGGAAATATCTGTGTAGACTGCATGCTATAGTGTAAATATCTGTGTAGACCGCACACTATAGGGTAAATATCTGTGTAGACTGCACGCTATAGTGTAAATATCTATGTAGACCCCACGCTAGTGTAAATATCTGTGCAGACCGCACACTATAGTGGAAATATCTGTGTAGACTGCATGCTATAGTGGTAAATATCTGTGTAGACTGCACGCTATAGTGTAAATATCTATGTAGACCCCACGCTAGTGTAAATATCTGTGTAGACTGCACGCTATAGTGTAAATATCTGTGTAGACTGCACGCTATAGTGTAAATATCTGTGTAGAATGCACACTATAGTGTAAATATCTGTATAGACCGCACACTATAGTGTAAATATCTGTATAGACCACACGCTATAGTGTAAATATCTGTGTAGACCGCACACTATAGTAGCACCATTTAAATTCTATTTAAGAATATGATTTTACATACAAAGATGTTAGTAATATGATAATAATATAAATTCAAGTAAGGACACATCTATAAACTGGGAAGTTCTTTCTCCAACTCTAATTTTTATTAAATGTTAATGAAACATGTATTCTCAAAAGGTTAAAAAACTAGTACATGAGTCTAACATAGAATCAGTAAACTTAGCATAAATCCAAAAATGTCATCTACAAAATTTTGAAATGTTACTTAAGACACCAGGAATTCCTCATCTCAACTATACAAATTTCAAAGTACACTAAACAAACAAAAAAAAAAAAACGCTTGTACTACTTTAATTTTAACAATACTTTTATTCACTAAAATCAGGCACTAACACTTGATATATACTTTCATCACTAGTCCTTACAATATAATACAAAGTATTCATTGTCTTAAAAATTATTCATTTGAACGAAAAAGGCATATCTGAAATTTCTATTCATACACACTGAAATCTACAGTGGTTATTTGAGCACGAGCACGTGTACAAGCTTAAGTGTAACTGAAGATACAACACATATGTACAAGTATAGCAAACTTGAATGTACTGTACCACAATATTACTTTACTATATGTACAAATGATGAAAGGGTTCTTTCTACAAGTGATATTTGTTGCTTTATAACACACACATATGGAAGATTTTCTGTCAACTGTGTAAAATACAAAGTTTATAAAATAAAGAAACTTGAAACATTGTCTGTGTCAGACTTATAGCTAATGGATCTGTTTACTTTACATTCACCAATCAAAAATAGAGAAACCATATACAAGTTAACTTACTAGTTGTTAGTTAATATACAGATACAGTTTATCATTATTTCAATTTCATGCTTAAAAAATAATGCAAAGATCTGCATCTCATCCCATATATGAATAAAAACTACAAGTATAATAAAATGTTTAAAAAATACAAATACCAAAGTCATTTATAAAGGGTTGGGTATGTTATATTAATAGTTCTGGTTTTCCAGGATGTTTTTTTTTTTAAGTTTTAGTGGATGGTCTAACAGACCCCTTGTTGTTCTTAGATGTTATTTATTGTTATTTGAATAAAAATATCATTCAGAATAACTGTCAAATCAAGATGACAGTCAGTCACACAAGCCAATCAAGATAATGCTATATTGTCAGTATTTAAAATAAGTTTAGAGTGTATTTATAAACATGTTGATTAAAAGTAAAAAGGGGAGTTACATCTTTCGATGAATCTTCAATCAGGTCTCACTCTCACTTAGAATCTCGTGTTTAACTTTGGTCTCCATATTTAAGAAAAGACATTAACTAATTGGTAAGGATTCATTTGAAAGCTACTATGTAACATAACATTTAGAGACAACAAGGGGATTGTTGGCCCATCAAGGCTACCCCATCCACTTAAAAATATAGAAGAAAGAAAAATCAATGGTATCCAGCTCTGAACATTTCAATATTTATTGGATCTTCCCTTAAACATCCACAATATTTAAATGCATTCCATTGCAAAGGTCAACAACCCTCTGAGAAAAGTGAAACTGTCTAAGCTGAAGCTGACTCCTATCCAGCCAAAAATTTATATCTGTACTCATGTCTTACTGTTAAATATGAAAAAAGATGATGTATCAATACTATCTTGAAACCTTCAATCAGATCCTCTTTAACTCTTCCTTTTTCAGGAAGAAACAATTACACAGATTTTAACTGGTCCTCATATGACAACCTTTCCATCCCAGTAGCCCTTTCCAATAATTCAATGTCCTTTCTAAGATAAGCAGCTCAAGACTGAACACAATACTCCAAATGAGGCCTAACCAGTGACCTATACAATGAAATTATGACCTCTTTAGAATTAAATTAAATGTATCTGTATACACAATCTAAAATCCTATCTGCCATACCACTAGCAACAATACACTGCTCTGATGGCTTAAGATTAGAGCTGGGTAATTAAGGTAATTTATTTTTTATTTAATAGGGTGATTATCTCGTGAAAGAACTTGCTGTCGACAAGAGAGGAATCAATAATTTGACATTTTGGGATCAAATGGTCTCTTGTTGTCCTTATGTTATATCACTAATGTACTAAATCATGTTTTGTCAGTCATAACTACTGAACAATTTAACATTTAGAAAACATAACGATTATCTTTCAAAAGGATGTAAAATATTTGAAGCTGGATACAGATTTCTAACAATAGAATAAAACTATACTTTAACTTAAAACAAAGTGTACCACTGGTTTTGTTAAAACATTAATTTCATTTACTATTTTTTTTTTAAGAAAGCTTTATATGACACAAAATGACAACCTGATTGCTTCAATAACTACTAACAGTTATTCTCAAATATGAGAGTGATTACAGCCTTCTTAAATTCTGGTTGGTGGATAAATCCATACTCAGAACTTAATTAATAACCCATTAAAGTTTAAACAAACCCAAGACAATATGATTCTTCTCTCACTATTTGGAAAATTAAGCATTTTGACAAGAAAAAAAAAAAAAATAGAAAAGCATTAATCCCAGCTTCTTGCAAAACCACAGAAAAAGACCAGGTCTCTTATTTTGATGACCTGCAATTATTTACATGGTGTTTGTAATGTCTTTTACTCATCATAATACAGGTGTCTTGTATTAATACACATCATTAGATGTCTGATGAACAGCTGAATCTCCCCAACCTCTGATCTAGCCTCATGGTATGGTATAATTAAAAATGATATATTTTACAATTTGATGAACATGAAGTAATATAGTACTAGTAGTAGTAGAGCTTTTCTTAAACTCAGACTTTTACTTTTACATAACATAGAGCAACATAGACCTATACTGATTATATTTATAAACTATTATTATTATAATTGAAAGTGGTATTAATACCAGTACTTATTATTAGTTATTTTGTCCAACGGGCTGCAATATTTTCCATTAATAATAATATTATTATTATGACTCTGACTTATGTTGTAATTTTTTATTTTCACAGGGATAAAACTTAAATATTATCACCATCAGTGAGGAAAGTATGAAAAATCGAGGATCAGATTCATGACCTTACCACTTTCGGTAACGTGTTCTTTTTTAGTAGAAACGGCTGTATTTCCCATGGTTCAAAATCAACCTCTGGAGGAAAGTGTGAACGTAATTTTCGCTACACACGTTCCTTACTGTTTTAGACCCCCAGGATCTGACATGGTACAAACCTTCTACCGGCTGATATTTACTCGATCACAAATTCGTATTCAAAAAAGATCCAAACCCGAATTAGCGCTTAAAACTGTTTCAATCCTTGTTATTTTACGTCATTGTACTATTTTGTCTATATAAAAAAACTCGTCTGGCAAAATGGCGACTGGTGCATTTGAAGTATATTACAATACGTAATCTGAAAGCGTTCGAGATCGGCAAAAGATTTACCATTGTTACGTTAGAGCTGTACGTCAAATTATCGAAATTGGGCCGACGACAGCTTGCTTACGTGCATGTTACGTCGTAGGAAAACGTAGAAAAATATATTACAGTTAACATTGTTATGATTATATATATAAAATGTTTTAGAATCAAAGTATGTGATTGTCGTAATAGGATCACCAGTTAAGCAAACTATTTGAATTAAAAACATTATTTGCCCTGCGACATCATGCAGTTTTCGTTATATAAAGTAATTGAAGTTCTACTTAAAACATATACGTTTTAGTTTCATTTTCAGCTCTTTGAAAAAATTAGCCTTAAGATATACACTAATAAAATTGTGAGTTTGATGTGCTAGCAATAACTGAGGTCGCGCACACTCATCCACAAAATGAGTTTGCAAAAAAAAGCCAACTTGTGCAGTTTCTAAATAATGGTATGCCCCTCAGTCTGCGGACTTATAACGCTAGAAACCGGGTTTCGATACCCGTCGTGGGTAGAGCACAGATAACCCATTGTGGAGCTTTGTGTTTAACTTCAAACAAACAAACAAATGATGCTATGTATATAAAATATATAAAAAAAACGATAACAAACATATGAATTATCTCTAGAACTATTAACGGGAATGACCCACATTCTCGCATACAAACACACACACACACGTCAGCATTTTAAACATATTTTTCTGAGCTATTTATGCATTAAACTCCGATCACATACGAATAACATAACCACAAATACCATAAATATTGCAATTAATCCTAGTTATCACTGCTAGGGGTCCTTACGTGGTTTTACATAGAATATGAATGATTTTTACAAAATCCTTATTTTCGGTCAATTCTTTAGACCATGTATTGTGACAGACAAAACAGTGGCGTGTCTGCGGACTTACAACGCTAGAATCCGGGTTTCGATACCCGTGGTGGACAAAGCACGGACTGCCCATTGTCATGTTTTGTCACCATGCTTTACCACACACGAAGACAGTGTCAAATCTCAAATTATCGAATTTGTTTTTATACCATTCACAACTGTTATGTTATGTTTTGTCTGTTTGTAATTAAGCACAAAGCTACAACATTATTTAATATGATACAATATTTAGGCCCCACCAGTTGTGAATGGTATAAAAACAAATTCGATAATTTGAGATTTGACACTCTCTTCGTGTGTGGTAAAGCAATGCATGAATAGAAAGTAGGCTTAACAAAGGCGGCGGAGAGAATCAAAAAGTGGGGGAGAAGGGAGTGGACTGAGATGTGTTGACTTACACGTACAAATAAAAGCTGACAATCTCTATATCTGACAGTGGTTTTGGAAAAAATAGGGGTGTTTCATCAGCCGCCTTACTCATATGTGAGGCTGACGAACTCAACGCAATTTTGTGGTTAATGTGTCCAAAATTGGGCTTCTGTTGGAGGCACTATCCCAAAGATCAGATACAAAAGCTTCTTTCACGGATCAAAATAACTGGTGTGTCAGTTAATATAAACACCGTTATAAATGTTTGGTGATATCTCAGTTAATATAACACTGGTATAAATGTTTGGTGATATCTCAGTTAATAAACACACAGGTATAAATGTGTGGTGATATCTCAGTTAATAAACACACAGGTATAAATGTTTGGTGATATTTCAGTTAATAAATACACAGGTATAAATGTTTAGTGATATTTCAATTAATATAAACACCGGTATAAATATTTGGTTATATCTCAGTTAATATAAACACTGGTATGTTTGGTGATATCTCAGTTAATAAACACACAGGTATAAATGTTTGGTGATATTTCAGTTAAACACCGCAGGTATATTTGGTCATGTCTCAGTTCATACACACAGGTATAAATGTTTGGTGATATTTCAGTTAATATAAACACCGGTATAAATGTTTGGTGATATCTCAGTCAATATAAACACTGGTATGTTTAGTGATATTTCAGTTAATATAAACACCGGTATAAATGTTTGGTGATATTTCAGTTAATATAAACACTGGTATAAATGTTTGGTGATACTTCAGTTAATATAAACACTGGTATGTTTGGTGATATTTCAGTTAATAAACACACAGGTATAAATGTTTGGTGATATTTCAGTTAATATAAACACCGGTATAAATGTTTGGTGATATTTCAGTTAATATAAACACTGGTATAAATATTTCGTGATATCTCAGTTAATATAAACACTGGTATGTTTGGTGATATCTCAGTTAATAAACACACAGGTATAAATGTTTGGTGATATTTCAGTTAATATAAACACCGGTATAAATGTTTCGTGATATCTCAGTTAATATAAACACTGGTATGTTTGGTGATATCTCAGTTAATAA